ATGAATCTGGGAAAATTGGAAGTTGTCAAAAATGAAATGGAACACATAAACATCGATATCTTAGGCATTAGTGAGCTGAAATGGACTGGTATTGGCCATTATTCAAATGTATGCACCAACCACTAAATCCAGTGAGGATGAAATAGAAGAATTCTACCAACTTCTTCAATCTGAAATCGATCAAACATGTAATCAAAATATATTGATCATTATTGGTAATTGGAATGCAAAGGTTGGGAGCAAAGAGAAAGGATCAGTAATTGGAAAATATGGCCTTGGTGATAGAAATGATGCTGGAGAATGCATGACAGAATTCTGCAAAACCAATGATTTGTTCATTTCAAATACCTTCTTTAGACAGCATAAGAGACAACTATACACATGGACCTCACCAGATGGAATACATAGAAATCAAATTGACTACTGCAGAAAGAGACAATGGAAAAGCTCCATATCATCAGCAAAAACAAGGTCAGGGGCAGACTGTAGAACAGACCATCAATTACTCATATGCAAATTCAAACTGAAGCTGAAGAAAATGAAAACTAGTCCATGAGAGCCAAAATATGACCTTGAATATATCCCACCTGAATTTAGAGATCATCTAAAGAACAGATTTGATACATTAAACACTAAAGACTGAAGACCAGAAGAGTTGTGGGATGACATCAAGAAAATCATACAAAAAGAAAGAAAAGTCATTAAGAAGACAAGAAAGAAGGAAAAGATCAAAATAGCTGTCAGAAGAGACACTGAAGCTTGCTCTCCAGCATAGAGATTATTGTTATTGTTATATGCCGTGGAGTCAGTTCTGACTCATAGCGACCCTGTACAGGGTTTCCGAGGCTGTAAATCTTAATGGGAGCAGAAAGCCTCATCTTTCTCCCGTGGAACAGCTGGTAGTTTCGAACAGCTGACCTTGCGGTTCACAGCCCAATTCATAACCACTATGCTACAGATGCTAAAGCAAATTAAAGAAATGAGGAGGTCAAAGGGCTGAATAGAAAATTTCAAAGATCAGCTAGAGAAGATAAAGTCAAATATTACAACAAAATGTGCAAAGA